GACGGCGATGACGGCGACGACGGCGACGACAGACGCAGATGATGGCTATATGTACAGACACATCTGTGTCTGTACATAATAAAAATCTGTCACAAGTGAGTGTACGTTTTTTATCCAATAATGTGCCCACTCAACAAGCATCTTCCTCCATGCCAAAAAATAGGAGTACCATCTCCATTCTCACATTTGGCCTTCAAGTACTCACATTGATCTGAAAAATGTAGAAAAAGCTTCAAAATTGGGACCAATTCACACTGTTTGTTTGTGGAAATTTTTTTTTTTTTTTTTTTGAGAATCTTGAAAAGATTCCATATAAATATGATAACTAAAAAGCAAAAACTATGCTGGTTTACAGTATTTGCATTGCTTGAAGACCATGCCAATGGTGATAAAGCATCAGTTCAGAAATAGTATTTTATAAAACAATTATTACACATGTAAATGATTGTGGCCATTCCCTCCCCCCTTCCTGTCTTGTCCATATTGCTAATTACCAGAATTTTTCTGGAAGCCAATATTTATCCTTAAGTTCTGTAAAACTGCATGGGTTTGCACAAAATATGTTTAAGGTTTTTGCTGCTCCTTATTTTTCCAAAGAATAATTTCTATAATATGGTGTTAGGTTTATATATTCTTTCATTGCTTACTGTATGTTTTCCAGTCTGGTGATACACATATATAAGATGTAGTCTGGCAGTTCCCATTCTTAATATCTAGACAAGCCTTTGCTACCTCTGACAACTGATTTGTTGTACTTTTAGGGGTGGTAGGACCTGGTTTTATTGTAGGACATGCCCCAAACTTTGTGGAAGACACTTTGGTACCATAACGACAGTTCAAATATTCCATTTCTTGTGTACCTGAAATGTAATGGATATACTATGATGTGATGTTTCTATAAAGAAATTGCTTTTTCAACATATTTTTATACTACTACAGTAATTGGGGCTTACTAAATGAAAATGCATCAAATATGTCTTAAGATCAATTTCCACCAGGAGTTGTCTTCAGGTTTTTTTTTTTCAATACAATACTTTGCTTCTTCATACCTGGTACAAGCAAAATTGCTTCAAAAATGTCTTCTGCAAGTATGGTTTTCTGACAATATATTTATAATATAGGATATGCAGGGAGACAAATGGAAGACAAAACTCATGTGCAAAAACATTCATTATTTCCTTTCTACTTACATGCATAGGTCTTCCCATCACTTCCACAAACAGGGGGATTAAATAGGCCACACTTCCTTTCGAAGCATCCACAATTCCACACTGTGGAACTGCTGTTTGTAATACAGTTTTCATAGTCCAGTAATGCCTTACCTGAAAATAATTTCTGACATATAAAAATATTTCTAAAAATCCCTTCCTAATGTGTCATCTATAAAAAGATTAAAAAGTAAATTAATTACTGTTTTTAATTAGCAACAATGTGGTGAAATACCAGAAATTATGGTTATTATATTTTCATCACTATACAAGAACAAATAAATACTTACAAGCATATAATTTCCCATTGTTTGCACAAACAAACCGAGCACCAGGGGGGCACTGGACTTTTGGACATCTTATATATGGGGTGGTAGCAGCAGGCTTTTATGTGGTTTTTGTGGCTGTTACAGATTGACTTGATGTTTTAAGAGTTAAGGTTGAAGAAGCAGTTAAGAGAATTGCTGTAGTGGTTCTGGTTGTGGTTGATTTTGATGTAGTTGTGAATTCCTCAATTTTTAAGCCATTTTGTCTGTTGTTACAATTTCTAGATTTGATACCATATATATAGCAGATTTACATTACAAGTTTATTCTTGACTTTGTTGACAGTCACCAAGTGGTTAAAACATAATTTTTTGTACATATAACATTATTTCAAAAATTCATAAAGAAATATTTCCAAGTAATTTTATTGGTTTTATGATGCTTTTGCTAAATCAGTGGATTATGTTAATTGTCTACACTCTAATGTTAACATTTCTAGTAACTCCCCTGTCATATCAGTTGGGATATACATGTAGGTATCAATAATTGTCAAAGTTTGCCATCTTGGATGTTGGTAACTGGTTATATCATTTGTGTAAGTATGGTAAGATAAGTTAGAATAGTTATAAAATATTGGTCAGGAAGAAAATTGGTAACTAAATTTGTTAGTCAGATAATATATGTGAATGGCTTAATTATAGTGTTATAATGAAAATTGTTTTGTTGTTTAATATATATGTGGCTGAGCTAGGATATCTGATCTGGAGAAACATGCATGTAATCTGTAACAGACATTTATTTAGCCACAAACAAAAAGGAACAGAAAAAAGGATCTGCAACAAATGTCATGTCATTTTTTCTATCCAATTAAGTTGCCCACGTTTGTAATGCATCTTCCTCCATGCCACCAAATAGGAGTACCATCTCCATTATGGCATTTAGCCTTCAAGTACTCACATTCATCTGAAAAACATAAAAGAAACCTCCTCAGTTTGGAGCAAGTTATGTACAACAAAATGCCATTTATTGCCACAACAAAAGGCAATTCATGACCTACAATTTTAAATGTTAAAACGTGCATAAACATACATACAGTACCATCCACTGAATATAACATATATAATATGATAACAGCTTTGCTATCTGTGACATTGGCTTAAGTCATATGCTACATTTTGCAAGTTGGTGGAAATCTTGAAAAAAATTCAAATGCATGCATGCTGATATACCATCACTGAAAACAACAACTGTGACACAATTTGTGGTGTTCCTTATATTGTTTTTGATTTTAATGCACATTCTTGCTCTTTAAAATAAAAATAATCATTATTCAATTCAAATGTTCTTAATACCATTTTACAGGTTTTGACATTACAATCAAAGAGCACACACGCACGCACGCACGCACGCACGCACGCACGCACGCACGCACACACACACACACACACACACACACACACACACACACACACACACATAGTTTCAGATATATATATTGAATCATTACTTACTGTATGTTCTCCAGTCTGGTGCTACACATACATAAGATGTTGTCTGGCAGTTCCCATTCTTAATATCTACACAAGCTTTTTCCACTTCTGACAACTGATTTGAGGTACTTTTGGGGGTTGTAGGTCCTGGTTTAGCTGTTGGACATGCCCCTAACCTTGTGTAATACACTCTGGATCCATAACGACAGTTAAAGTATACCATTTGTTGTCTACCTGAAATAAAATGGATACACATTATAAAGATTCCAACAAGACCATGTTTCTTCTACATGTTTTTCTAGAATAAGGCCAATTCCATCTTACTAGTATGTAAATGAAAATTTATTAATTTTGAAAATTATTTGCTTAAAGTGGAGACCTTTTGCCTGTTAACATAAACTAATCATTTTAGTTTCAATATTGAATAAGGGAAAACAAAGTTACTGTAATAAAAAAAAAATACAAAACTCAAGTGCAAAAATTACCATCATCAGTTTTCATATTCCTTCTACTTACAAGCATAGGTCTTTCCATCATTTCCACAAACAGGTCGATTAAAAAGCCCACACTTTGTCTCCCAGCATCCGCAATTCCACACTGTGGCCCTGCTGTGCGTTATACAGTTTTCGTAGTCCAGTAATGCTTTACCTGTTCAAGATAATTACTGTCTTATAAAAAGTATTCGAATAATTGTTTTCTTTTTATTTTGTCAATCTGTGTCATAAATGATACAAAAAAGGATTACTAATGATGGTAAAATATGAAAAAATCACAAAAATATTATAAAGTAAAAAAAATTACTTGATGGTAAAACACACACACACACACACACAAAAAAAAAATAATAATAATAAGGTAAAATAAATAAAAATAAAAATAAAATAAATTTTTTCAAGTCATTACTTTACAAACAATTAAAAATATACTTACAAGCATATTTTTTCCCATTGTTTGCACATACAGACTGAGCTCCAGGGGCACATTGGACTTTAGGGCATCTGATGTAGGGTGTTGTGGTTGGCTTTGGGGTGATAGTGGTGGTGGTGATTGGTTTTGGTGTGGTAGTGGTGGTGGTTGATTTTGATGTAGTTGTGGATGGAATTGGATATGTGGTACTGATAGGTTTGTTGTTGGTGGTGGTGGATGGTTTTATTGTAATTTGCTTTGGGGTGGTGGTTGATTTTTCTGTTGCTGGTTTCTGTGTTATTTTTTCATTGGTTGTTGTTGGTAAAGTGGTATATTTTGAGCATTCTCCAGGTCCAAGACTGAAAATTGTTTGTCCTTGATGTTTGAAGAAACAGTGTGCATTCTCCAGTTCACAAGCACTTCCTAAAAGAGAAAATAAAATTATTAGTTTATAAACAAAATTTAAGTGATGACTGTAAGATTGTCTTAAATGATTATTCTCATTTTTATAGCATATTGGATTCATTAAAAAATTAAACATAATTCAATTTCCCTCTCCATGTTTGATTTTAAATTGGTAACTTTCTTAACTTAAATGAAAGCACCATCACAAGGTCATACAGACAGGGTTAAAATTTACAAGAAGAACACAAGATATTATCTTTAGCTGTATATTGTATAGTATAAAACTCCCTGAATTGCTACTTATTTGTGATTATTTTACAGGTAAATATAGAAATATAAGTTGGTTAAAGATAAGTTCTTACAATTAATGTGGTTTACTGACATTGACAGTTACAGTCTTAATTACCATATGTCCTTAAATCGCTTCCACACACAGGGATATACTCCTCCAGACAAACCTTGATACAGTTACTGTCTTGGCATTTTACCAAACTGCTCAACACTGGGAATTAGTGCATTTAATATTCTTATGATCAAGATAATTATTGTAAATAATTAACTATTTATGATACATATGATTACTTTATGTTTCTAAAGCATTTCTTGTCAATATTAAAAATCTGTAAAAAATTATCTGTTGCTTAATTATTAGACACCAAGTTTGATAGGTTTTATCAAAGTTTAAATAAAAACTGATACAGTGGTATGGAAACACTTGAAAAACTAGAGG